CTTATTAGTCACTCAATAATCTATAATTACTGCTATATAAATTTACACAGAAGAATAGATGGCAATATAGTTCAGCGATTTCTAGGTCAATATAAAATATTTTTTGCGTCAGCATTACCTAAACCAAAATACATGCTTATGACAAGCTTGCAGCAAGCTAGGTGAGCTTGTGCAAGCTAGTAATGGTGCTTGCACAAGCTAGTAATGGTGCTTGCACAAGCTTGGTCGAGAAATATTTCAAAGTCTGCAAGCTTGCAAATGGAATTTTTCAAAGTCTGCAAGCTTGCAAAAGGAATTTTTCCAAGTCTGCAAGCTTGCACAAGCTTGTGAAAGGAATTTTTTAAAAAGTGCAAGCTTTCAAAATCTAAAGTACTGGATGTAAGTTTGCACATGCTTGCAATAATCAGTTATGAAATTTAAGGGCAGTTCTGCATGAGATCAGTACTTCTTGAAATGTTGAGTATTTGTTGTGACTAGATCAAATACTCAGAATATAGGAAACTAAACTATCAAATTAAAAGATGTTACTTGCAATCTAGTTTTTATTTATATCGTCTTTTCAATATTGCAAAATGCTACGAACTTGTATTACTTGTGCTTAGCTGGTACATAAATAAAATATATTATTCCAACATTTCTCTATAATTAAATTAATTATGAACATTATTAATATGTCAAAATAAACTGAATTATTCCTTGTGCATGGCAAAATATGAAATATTACTTTTTCTACAAATGTCTTTTTCTCCTTTTCAATTTTTACAAATATTGTACATATTAGAGAAAAAAAATGAGAGTTTTGGCATAAAGGGAATTCTTTAAGTGATGAACACTCAATTAGCTATGCAGTAATTTTTTGATGAAATGGAAGAGTGGGTAAAGATTCCATTGAATAAAATCCTGGAAAACAGGAAAACTTTGCAAAGTTAATTACAGACTAACTTGATACAGCAAGATATTTGATAACAAGTACTTGCAAATCTATTTACCAATAATGTATGCACCATCAAATATAGTCTCAGTAAATCTTGTAATATTAACTTCTGGCATTAAGTTTATGAAAGAACTGTCATATATTTGTTTCAATGACAATCTGCTGCCAGAAGAAAAGAAATAATTGTCAGTTATTTAATTACTAAATAAAATTTACAAATATATAGGTTTTATTTTTCTTTCAGAGGTGCATCCCATTCTGCCAGCATTCTATAAATAAATGAGCTTTGTGAATTTTGCTTGTTTGAAAAGAAATCAAATAAAAGCATGCAAGGTTGAGGTGTGGCTTGCTGCGACAGACTTAATTTGGTATTGAGTCATAAAAAGCGGTCATGTCCCCTGTTTACGTCTTTTTTTTTAGTAGACTGGTTTACAAACTGTAAATACACACGTAACATATTTAAGTCTAAAGAACATAATACAACCATTGTAGCATCCCGTTTATGCAGGCACAATTTTCCAGGTTGATCCTTAACAATTTACCTATTTAATTTGGTAAATTTCAATGCCCGCTAAACTATTATAAGTGCAGTAACCGATCCTATAATCAGAGAGATCATCTGAAATCACGGAGTTACAATATCGGTAAGTAAATTCAAAATTGTGTCGTTCTTTGCCAGTTTTTCATGACTTTAATTCGGCGGTAGCGTTTTTCACTTTTATGATTTAAATATATTAAAATATGACTGTAATGTTGCTTCACCCAATGATTGAGATGGCAATGCTGCAGATAATTATTATTTATTGCTACACTTGCCAAATCGATGAAGTGCTATCAGTTATCGACAATAGGGTTACGGGATTAAACGCACGCTTGGGAATCTCATTTCCGTTATTCTTAGGGTATTATTTCCTCTCACATATTAAATCAACAATTGTTCAGAGGTTGTTATATTTAATTCTTTTCATCCTCAAAGAAGATGGCCGTTATTTTATTTCAAAATGTCTTAAGGTACATAATCAGTTTCATCAGATTTTTGTTGTTTAAAACTCACAAGTGCCATTCATTTTACATGTGCTATTGACCTTTCAAAGTGAATAGTAAAACTAGAATTTTATGCTCATTAAAAGATGATCTTGAATAACACTGTCAATTCCTGGACTTGTTAAGTGATTTTGGAATAATGATCTAAAATTGAAATGCTTTTGCCAACAAGGTAAATACTTGTTTGTTTTTTCCTGATTACACAGTACATGTTCCTGTAATCAATTTCAGTGGATGATACCCGACTCACACAAGAAGCAGAGGAGGATGCAGAATTTTATTGAGGATTTTGTTTAGCAGAAGTGATTCAGAGTAATTCTAATGGCATTTTTGTTTTCACCTAATAGTTTATCATCATGGTAGATGAGAGGGAGTCGATTTGACACCATCCTCCCTCAAATGGATTTCAACATGGAAGTAAATTAGTGTAACATTTCCAAATCAATACATAACCAACGTATATAGAGTTTGCACACACAGATCAAATTCATATGCTATTATTTTCATATGATTAAAGATTATTAAATGATTTGATGACTTCAATCCTTTTTATTGTGACAGTAAGATGTCATTCTAATTGATGTTCACCACATATTAACATTTTCATTTTAGTATTTGATATTACATACTTTTCGTACATCAAGAGCTAGAAAAATGGAGGTATGTGACCTTATATAGAATAATTCAATCAATGCCATATCAGTTCTTCTGATGCAACTTAGGTCAGCTTTGTTTGCAAATCAGTGAGCTTGTGGCAAGCTTGTTGCAAGCTTGCCATGATTCCCTATTACTAGCTTGCCACAAGCTTGCAATAAGCAAGCTTGCTCAAGCTAGACACGGTTTCAAATCTAAGCTTGGCGCAAGCTTACAAAACAAGCTTGCAATTTTGGTTTGGGTAAATTGAAGTAAACTATTTGAAACGAAAAAATTTCAAGCTCTTATTCTTTTTGATGAGATTATTATTTTTGCTTGTCTTTTCTCTGATTTTTATTTGCCTTGTTATAGTTCGATGCTACATCCCTGTTTATTTGTAACCCCCTACCAATTTCAATAACTAAAATGTTTAATGTGATAAAAATTGCACAGAACTAAGTCAATTGAATCATTGATTTATCATTTCTAACCTTACTGTCACCAGAATGGCACTAATACTAGCATCCCCTTGCACCTTTCATGCTTAACAGACTTTCCATACTAACACGGAGCCATATTCTGTACACTATGGGTTAGTTTATTTCCATCCAACAACATAATGATGTAATTCATCCTATTCGGTAACTGTCAGATAATTCTGTAAATTACATAATGTTGAGTTTGGAATTATATTCCTTTGCACACATGAACATATTATTGAAACCACTTTTAAATTCATGTGAAGAGCAATTTTTTTTTCTTGTTTGATACTAAATATTGGAAGCAGATGACATATGTATGTACATCTTTAGTCGGACATACAACCCTTTGCTGAAAATGGACTTGTCCAGGACCTGGAAATGGGTCTTAGGCATGTACGTCTATAATATTGAAAACATCCATTAAGCATGAAACGCGCAGGTGTTATGGCCATTCTACTCAGTCTGGTTAGAAAATATAAATCAATGAATGAATTGACCAAGTTCTTTGCACTTTTTATCAAATTAAAGGTTTCCGTTATTAAAATCGGCGGGGGTGGTACAAGCCAACGGGTAGGACTATAGTATGATAAGTCCGTTAGCATGAAAGGTGCAAGGGGATACCAGTATTAGTGCCATTCTGGTCACAGGCAGGTTATAAATTATAAATCAATGAATCAGTTGACTTAGTTCTGTGAACTTTTTATCACGTTAAACGTTTTAGTTATTGAAATCGGTAGGGGGATACAAACCAAAGGAGATGTAGCATCGGACTATAGATAATATCAAGTGTGGTGTTGTGTGGTGTCTAGCGTAACTTTTCATAGACGTTTACACCTCACGCGCTTTAATCATTCTGCGATAATCGGTTGTATATTTGTCATATATAAATATAGTCTGTCACTTTTTTAATACACACGTTCACATTGTCTGCGTAAGCAACCTTTTTAAATCGTATTTAAAGTCAACACCTGTCAGCCATATTGTTTCCTGACCAGTAAGACAGGTGGGCCAAGGTACATGCAGAGGAACGCTAAAACTACTCTTATTGGCTGTCAAAACATTGATATATAAATTATGTGTATGTATACTTACTGTCTCTTGCAGACTCACAAAAACATAAAAAGCATAAAATTAACGATAGTATTGTGCTCTCCTTACAAAGCGCCATATCTAAGCGCTGACCTACGAAATTCTCTCCCTTGTCAAGTTTGTCACATGATATCAGTGACAATTTTGATTGGTACAAAACAACAACAAATTGTTCAGATCTGAGTCACGTCTCTGTTATTGACAAAGTACGTTCGGAAATTAAATTTACGTAGCTGCAACTCGTCTCTCAGGAGCAAGAGACATTTTTGTTTCTTTTCAAAAAACATTTTTTTTTTGTGTCTATCTTTCTTTTACCAGAGTCATCCAAATTTTATAGTGGTAAATTGTAAATCGCGTTTCAAATAATGGACTCTACTTGGTATAGTCACATCACAAGCGGAACATTTGATACTAAATATAACGTTTTTTCCGGAAAAAAAAGCAACGGTCAGCAGTGGCTCTGAAGACACACACACACACACACACACACACACACACACACACACACACACACACACACACACACACACACACACACACAATAACTGCAATAACGATTTTGCGCAATTTTCTTTTCTTCAATCATCCTGATTGCCATTTAAATTTAGTATTTAAAAAAAAATGGTTTTACTTTGCAAGATAAATAAACTACGGAAGTCATTTCTTTGTCACATAAATTCAAACATTTCATGAACTGCAAAAATGGCATTTAAACTGCCCGAAGATTCTCAAAAGATACACACAAGCTGCTCTAAGATTATGTGGCTTTAACAATTTTCAATTCGCTTTGAAGTCTGCAGTGTGGCAATTTATAGCGGAACCGCACCGGTGGCCTAGTGGTTAGAGGGTCCGCCTCGAATGCGGGAGGTCGTGGGTTCAATCCCCTGTCGAGTTATACTAAAGACATACAAAAATGGTACAAACAACTGCCTCGCTTATCGCTCAGCATTAAGAGATTAGCTTTAGGACTGGCCGGCCTGGTGTCAGGGTAATGTGACTGGGTGGGACATCGTGATACATATCTTCGGCATGATGCCCCAGTGCTAGACATCACTATGAACAGTCACACTGCAAACATCGTAGCGATCTGACTGAACAATTGTTAAAGCACCGTTAGAAATCATAATCACATTACATCCCACAATTTATAGCAGCTGCGCGATTCACCCAAAACCTGCCCAGATCTACTACAAATATGAAGTATATTAAACGAAGCATACTCAAAACCATAAGAAAACATTGGAAAGAGCATTATTTCATAGAAACAGACGAGAAAATAGGCTGCATAATTTTGATATTGGTTGTAAACATTGAAACAAGGCAAACAAATGTTGCTATATTCATTGCCAGTGTTGGTTATCAAAAAGACCCAATCAATAAAAAGAGACGGCCATATTATGAAGTAAATAATGAACCACCAGTGCCATTCATAATAACGAGGATGAAAATAATAATATACACACTACACTGCAAATATTCTTTTCCTTATTAATTGTCCATCATTGCCTTACCTATCAAATAAGATTAACAGAACATTAGAAAACAACGAACAACTGAAAGTACCACATACTTTCTTTATAACTGATTTCAGATTTCTATCAATATAGCAGGCCTCGCCGCTAATTAAAATGTAATAAATATGTACAAATATTATTGTTTAAATTCGTATCAAGCACAGTTTTAAAACATAAAATGAAGTGTATCAACATAAAACTAATGAAGTTCAACTCAATTGTATTTTGCATGTTTTAAAGCAAAACATTCATGCAATCAACATAATACAAGTACAACCTGAGTTGTAGGTAACTAAAAATTTCTAAAATTGTACTATTATAAACATTGTAAAGAAATTTTACATAAAGCCAGATCAAAAGCTGGAACAATGGAAATGCGTAGCCATTCATTGACATTAGACAAGTGAATTTCTTATTTAATTTGCATATCCTAAGTCAATGCTCGCTGTCTTTTCTGATGATGATTTTGTGCGCCAAATGGTTTCATAAATTACATATAAAGAGGAAAGGCCAAATAATTTATAATTGTCAGAGCCATATAGTGCGCGACACAAATCTATAAACTGAGCTTGAGTTACACTATATAACCTGTTAATTAATTCGGGTATCTTGTGTTGTTTCCAATCAGCAACCTGCTTAAGTTTATTATTTATAAATTCCGAGTTGTTGTTGGTCCAAAGACTCGTGATAGTTTTGTTTTTTTAATGGTTTGTACACAAACATTTTATTTATTTTTTTTACTTACGAACTTTTCGATTTACTGTGCGAAATTGAGATATTGTTTTAAATACATTGACATATCGTCTTCTCATTTTGCAAACTCAACGTCATCTTGACTGAATATTAGGCCACTGTCTTCATTGAAGAGCATTCGAAGTATTTTTTTGTGACAATACCGTCACATCCATGTCATGCAAAGAATGCCGAATGTTGTTTTTAGTATGCTTAGTGAAATCAATTACAAAATAATCTCACCATTCTAATGCATTGTAGAACACCCTATTTTTTATCTACTCACTCATTTGATTTGTACCGCCATCTATAACTTCCGTAGACCGCCGCTTTGTGACAACAACTTTGTGATAATTTGATCCGTACAAAAAAAAAATTGTTTTTAAGACAGTTTTTTGCATTACATTTATATGTATGTATTTATATTTCTTCGCATCTGACTCGCACAAATGGTTCACATGCGCAGAAGACTGTTTTAGCATTATCATTAAATTTCAAGAAACGACAACGTCAATAATATTCTTAAATGCAATGATAATAATATTCTTAAGTGCGATGACAAGTGTAAAGAAAATAATGGATCAGAACTAAAGAATTAGTACCTTTACATGATTTCAAAACTTTTTTATATTTAAAACGTCAGGAAGAAATAAAATATATTGCTATAGGCCTTATTGACAACAAATTGTTAATAAATACAATAACAAATACATGAAAAATATTTATATAATTCACAATGAGGCTCTGTAAATTTGGTACGTATTGACTAGGTACGCCTTTGACTCGATAACCAGCATAAGTAATTCAGTACAATTTGTCTCCCTTTTGTCATTTCCATCCGATGTAAATAAATGTGGCACAATTTATGTCTTTCAACGAGAAAGTGCTCTTTCCAATATTTTCTTGTAGACTTAGGCATTTTCATTTGATTTACATAATGTTTGTGGTGGATTTGAGCAGATTTTGGGTGGTTTTGGATAAATCGTGCGGCCAGTTTATAGTGATGTTTAGCATTGGCGCATCATGCCACAGACATGTAGCATCGTGTCTCATCCAGTCGCATTACCCTGACACCAGACCAACCAGTCCTAACACTAATCTCTTAATCCTAAGTGCCAAGTGAGGCTGATGTTTGTACCATTTTTATGTATTTGGAATGACTCAGCCGGGATTCAAAACCGCTACTTCCCGCATTCGAGGCAGACGCTCTAACCAATATGCAACATAGGCGGTAACCCAAAGATTTTAAAATAAAATATGTTTAAGCTGCCCGAAGTTTCTAAAAAAATAATTCATTACTGCACCATTTATGTGCTCAATACAGAGGACATTATGTGCTCAATACAGAGGACATTACGTGCAAAAAGAATGCTGAATGTATCACAGATACAACATAAAGTAAATGCATTTGGAAATTAAAACGAAACAAATATTGCAGCCATTAACACGACTCCACAAAATATGTATTTAAACGAGTATCGCGAGTTTGACTTCTACTACAATGAATGTTTACTCACTTGGAGAACCAAGAAAGAAATCAGAAGAAACTGCTTTCGAATATATCAGATATCTTTTTTTCTGTCACTCCTCATACGTCCCTATATTAACTCCCTTATGCATGTGTGTGTGTGTGTGTGTGTGTGTGTGTGTGTGTGTGTGTGTGAGAGAGAGAGAGAGAGAGAGAGAGAGAGAGAGAGAGAGAGAGAGAGAGATGAAATTCTGCACCATGTTTAATTCATTTAGAAGATGGAGATTATTATTTGTATTGTTATTTTATTAGTGGAAGTTTGTCACAGATTTAGAGAATGCAGCAGCGATAGCCTCTTTTTGAAATATAACTTAATGTTGAACAGAATCAAATAAAACCGAATTATCGGGTAGATTTAAAAATATTATTATTATTATCATTATTATATATATATATATATATATATATATATATATATATATATATATATATATATATATATATATATATATATATATATATATATATATATATATATATATATATATATATATGTGTGTGTGTGTGTGTGTGTGTGTGTGACGGACGACAGCGTTTACACATTACCTTATAGATAACAAAACTGAGCTCGCATTAAATCTTTGCTGCTTATGTTCTGTTTTTAAGGTATCTTAGATATCTTTTTGTGCTTCATCTGTGATGAGACTGGTTTTATTGGAGATAGTTGCCATTGATCACCTGTTCTTACTATTAAAGCCCACCAGAAATGTGACTCCATTGAATTTTGATCTATAAATTAGTTGCATGGAATCTCTGAGTTTAAGAGGTAACAATGATTTACATCGATTATTCAGACAAAAAAATTATCATGTAGTGGCAATTTGTTTTAAATACATTTTACACACGGCTAAAAAAGAAGTTATTTAATTGATGATTGTGAATGTAAATCTAAGCATCAGTAACGAAAAAGGATACATTATCTAACGATGAATATTTTCTTCTTTTAGGTTCTGTCGGTATATCTTTACAGGTTGACTAGTGTAAGACAGTTACGATATTATCTATTATCGTGTGTAATTCTAACCTCAAGCCACATCCAAGTATTGTCTGTGGACGTTTATAACACTCACGTTATTGATTTATGTCTACGTTCGTTCTTCGTCGAGAAAATACTTCGTAGCTTCTACAAACTGATGTAACAATATTATTCCGTAAAAATACACAGTCACCAAAAATATTTTCTATTTCTGATGTTAAATACTTTTCAGGATCACATTTCTGGTCGTTTAGCACAGTATCAGTATCAAAACAGCATTCAAGCTCATCATGTGGAAATTAAGTGAAACGTTACGCAGATATGTATGGCTCAGTTGTCAATGACTGTCTCCATTGATGTGCTGGCATCTGGTAGTCAAGTGGTTCTCTTAAGGTCTTTCCGTACGCTAGCAAATGTATAGAGCTCATGATCCTGAGCCTAATTTTATGTTTTTCACTCGTGATGCCATGTTCATTCATGTAACCGGTACAGGTAATCGTAATTAATGTATGTTAAAAAAATTTTGTAGCCATTTAACCTGAAAAGATCATAGCTTCCATAAGCCATGGTTATGTATTTCATAATCATTTTACCCAAATTGTTTACGATAGCATCTCGATTTCTTTTTGGCATTAAATGACACGCGGAATCTCCCAGATCAAATTAATATATTTAGAATCAGCTATAATGTTGCTATCAGTAAAGTTTAATTTAGTTCAATGTTGCCCGAGATATGTGTGATAAATTATGTGGAATCTTCTCCAGCTTCTTATGGGTGATGTATTTACATCGATGTCTCAGACATTTATCTAACTTGTATAAAAAAACATTGCCTACAGATCCTTCAGTCATGACTAATAACGCTAGACCGATAGCTATCGATCTTTCAGTCATGACTAAATTCTAGACCTATAGCTATTGATCCTTCAGTCATAACAGTAAATCCTAGACCGTTAGCTTTTGATCCTTCAGTCATGACTGTAAATGCTAGACCGTTAGCTATCGATCCTTCAGTCGTGACTATTAATGCTAGACCGATAGCTATCGATCTTTCAGTCATGACTAAATCCTATACCGATAGCTATTGATCCTTCAGTCATGACTGTAAAGATAAATCGTTAGCTATTGCTCAGTGACACATAACT